TGTGTTGGAGGAGTTTGTTATTGTTGCATGCCTTTATGTCTTTTGCTCTTTGCATTTGCCTGCATTTTAGTACAGACAGATACTGTTTATGAAAAAAAAAAGTATTCAAAGCATTTAAAGATATTGTGGAAATAGAGATATGGACAGGACACATTTGGGACAAATGTTGCAGAAGAGACATTCCATTAATGGAAAGGCTGCATTTGTGTTAACTGTCTCAAGTGGCACAAATATGTTGATGATTATCTTCTGATATGAAAGTAGCTTTCTTCAGGCAGCGATGTCTTTCAGTACTCAGTAACTATACAGTGCTTGAAAGGATGGGCTGGGTTTTGCTACAGGTATTGTATAAGGTTAGACAATTTATTTCTGTTAAGATGTATCAGCAATGAGGAAGACTTCACAGAAGGAGCTCTTTAGATAAGTATTTATATGTATTGAGTACTTGTTCAAAGAAATTGTCTTCTCAGTAGTGTTTCAAAATCATTATAGCACAGACAGAATGTGTTTTACAGAATATACTTCTGTATATTTTCAGTTCATACAAAGTGTGATCAGCTAATTAGGTGAGTGGTTGTATGATTGGCATCAGAAAGCTGTGGTTAATGGATTATGCTGTACCTGAATGCTGATAAAATGGGGAGTACCACATCTTAGGACCTGTCCAGTAACTTTTTTGTCAGTGACCTGGAGGTGATAACTGGACTCTTGTCAAATTTTCAAGGGACACAAAATTGGGACAACATGGTAATACTCTTGAGGGCAATGCTTTCATCCAGAGCAACCTAGACATACTAGAGAAATGGGCCAACAGGAGTCTTAGAAAATTCAGCAAGCACAGCTGCAAAGTCTTGCACTTGAGCGGGAAGAACCCCTCCAATGACATAGGCTGGGATCTGATTGGTTGAGGAGGAGCTCTGCTGGAAGGGATCTGGGGATCTTGGTGGATAGCAAAATGCACTGGAGCCAGCAGTGAGCTCTGACAACACAGCAAGTCAGCATGGTCCTGGGCTCCTTTAAAAGATAGCAACACAATACATAACGTGACAGAAAACACACAAAATTACAGGTGATTACAGAGTTTTGGAATACTAAGAAATAATTAATAAAAGACAAAATAAAGCCCAAGTAAAATAAGGCAAAAATACTGAGATCAGGGTAGAGTTGAAAATCTGGGATTACACTGATTCTCCATCTTTATGTATTGAGTAATGATAACGTAGGAGAAAGTGCAGCACCAAGCAAACTGTGTTGAGTAACGAAGAATGCATCAAGATAAAATAATAAACTCATTGAGAAAATAAAAAATGCCTTTGTTACCTCACTCCATGTCATGCAGAACTTTGGAGAAACACACAGCCTGCTAGTAAAGATGAGTCACTGTATGAGATTACAAGCGTCAAATGAGTGAATGCTGGAACAGTTGATAAACCATAGAATAAATGGTCACGAGAGCCCTGCTCTCATTCTGCTCATGCCTTTTGACTACTTTTCCTCCATTCAATTTTGTCTCTGATTTCACTAATTTTGAGATGTGAAACTCAGTTTGGGATGAGGCTGCAATAATCCACTGACAGTGTCATAAATATGCTGCTAAATAGGAGTACATCTCACCTCACTTTTGACCAACAGATTAGCAAGCTATGAAGTACTTGTGTTAACATGAGAGTTCAAAAATTTGCGCCTGGTAGTAAGAAAAGAAGGATGAGGAAGAAAAGCTAATTGTATCCTCTCAGAAGAGGAATGATTTTCTTTTTCCTTTCGTGCAACACCTCGGTAAGAATACTCTTTGGTGTCTTTCTGTAGGTCCTGTGACATTTGTAAGAAAAGGAGACCAATAATTGAGTCATGTGCAAGAAAATGATTATAATAATTAACATTTACATAGCATATTGTATGACAGGCATTTCTCACTTGACAACACTGTTGGAGGATATAGTATACACACACCTTACTGTGATGAAGATGGATCAAGTGTGCAAAAAGTAAGCTTTTACACCTAGTGAACTCAATGCTCTATTACTGCGCTTTACAGAAGGATGAGAGGATTTCATTTTTTAAGGTTGTTTTACACATTTGCCCTGTTTTAGATTAGAAAAATAAGGAGTTGAGTCACCTTGGCTTTGGCTTGTCAAAATAATCAGGGCTGATAGATGAAACAGAACTGAGCCCAAATTTCAACAAAGGAATATTTGTATTTGGAAACAAAATGTAAAATCCCATCTCCTGCTCTCCCCAGCCTCTGTTCCCCCACCTTTCTCTTTTCCTTCCTTTAGTCTTGTTTTTACTATAATCGCTGGTCTGGGAACTATTAAAATAGAACTCGAAAAGCTCTGTTCTGCTCCCAGACTAGCAGTGATACCATCTTGTTGGAATCTCTGTTTTTGAGATCTGCCCCAGAGAGACCCAGTGAAAGCTGAGGTAAGCAAGTAAACGTTTGAGTATTTGTCTCTGTTACTTAAGCATTAATGTGGTGCTGAAGAGGAGGAGCTGTTAGGGGGCCAAATCTTTTGCCTTTTACATTACTTTTCCTGAACAAATGTGATCTGAAACTTTTCATAACTGTTCTTACCTCATTTTTCTTGCCTTTTTGCTAAGGTTTATCAGCACAAAACTGAGCCTCCTGCATTTAATCCTCTCCTGATGCGATTGTAGTAGTCAAAAATGGGTAATTTAATTTCAGGATTGTGTGGATGAGAGAATCCTGAGGAACTTCTGTGTTAGATAATTTCTGTTGTGAAGTGTGATGTACAAATTTTGTTTCTGTGAAATGAAACCAGAGACTGCCTCTGTTTAAATGCAGATTGTGGAGCAGCTCTCCAACAAGAGAAATGCAATACCTGAACCCAGGAACTCAGTCTGTTCCTGTGGTTGTTCTTTCACTGTAGCATGCAGCATTCAGTGAACTGCAGAAGGATTTAGGAAAGAGGAAAGCAGAAATAGGTGTGTTTTTTCCATTTGTTTTGTGCAACAGAAGTTTCCTACAAAAGGCCAGTCCTATAAGAAAAGTAGCGTACAAAATCACTTATTACATGGATGATACAGATGGAGGGAGCACACTGGAAAAAGAGAATGTTGTACTAGTGAGTTCGGACTCTCAGAGTATGTTTGACATAAATTTATGCTTGCATCTACTTATCAATATATAATTGCCTCTGATGAAACATGTACTTGATAAGATGGAAGGAAATGCATTGTGATATGGTTCTTTAAATTCTGGGCTGACCTGAGCTATTATCTACAGGAAAGATCAGAGAGGAAGAGACCTGGAGTCTGCCAGAATTTCAAGGGGAAGGTTAAGTATTTGGCACACCAAACAAAGAAGAATTGTTTGGATAGTGCATAGAAGGAAGAGGAAAGGTGGAACTGGCAGCAGGGAAGCAAGTGGTTATGATAGCAGGAATGGGAGTTTATTTATCTCTGTAAAATGGAATAAAATCTGTGTTGTTAGATAGCCAAATAGAAGTATGTTTCTCTGAGATTTTCCTGAATTGAAACTGGCCTTTGTATAGTTTGTTGAAAGGTGTTCTGTGATCTTTAAAAGGAGAGTTAGTTGGCCATGAGACAAGCCAATAGAGTCCACTTTGCAGTACTAAAAAGATAGCCATGTGTGATCCAGAATTAATTTTCCCATCCCTTCTCTTAAGAAACTACTCCGTCAAACAATCAGTTTTCTTTTTTAATTTTGAAATGGAAGAAACAGGATATGCTTCATGGAACATTTCTTTAAAAAGCATTTTATTTAATTAAAAAAAAAAAAAAAAAAAAAAGGAAAAAAGACTACAACAAATTTTCTATGTGTATCCAGCTTTCTGTGCTTTCTGTCACTTGGAACACTTTGGCCACCAGGTGTGGTCAGTGTTTTTGGACACTGCTATCCATCCCCATGTCCTTTTTAATATCTTTACATCTCATCCAAATTGTAGCTGCTGCATTTATCTATTCATAGCACTCATATAAAACAACCCACTTTCAGAGTCTATATCCTCACAAAGACCCTTGTGTTAATGGTGTATGGAAATTTCCATAGGGGTCTGCCTATAATGTTGACTTTCAACTCACTATTCCCAGATTTGAATTAGTAAATCAGAAAAATATTTTCTTGTGTTTTTGATGAGGAAGAGCAATGACAGGGAGCAGAGAGAGAGAGATCACTGTTTAGTTTAATAAGTGTAACCTCTTTGGCTCTGCTTTTCCTTATGCAGAGACCAAATTCTTCCTTATTCATTTGTAATCTTTTTATTTTGCTCCACCCTTTTCTTTCCACCCTCTTAGTTATGGGAAAGACCAAATATTATGCCTATTTGGCTCATTGTGGAGTGAAATAGATTTTAGTGGAATTAACTAATGGTATTTTTTTTACATTTACAATTATATAGTTAATGAGAGGGTCTCACCTCTGGCAGATGCATTGCCTTTCTGCTTTTACTGAGTATTCTTCCCAGTGACTCAACAGCCGTGTACAAAGTGACAAAATCCTGTATTAAAAAAAAGAAAAAGAATGTTTAGTTTTGAAAACACAAATCTTTCACTGAATAAATATTTATCTTGCCTATTTATAATGTCAAGTCAAGCGTAAGTGGTATTAATTTTGCATGAAGGAAAGCCAAGTCTAGAAATCCGAAGCAAAATCTTGAAATTGCAGAAATGTTGAGTTCCATAGAACAGCAGATGTCTGAGCAGCGTGAATGCTAATTTTGCAGGTTAAGTCCAGCTTTCTTGGATAAAGCAGTGAAAATATTTCATGGAACAGTTTTCAGTTAATGAAGGTTTTGAAACGTCTGATTTTATTTGTGTGAAATTTGTGTGAAATTTAAATGACCAGTCAAGAATCTATCCTATGAGGTGGAGGGACCCTGTGGAAAAAAAAAAAAAAGCACAAGATGATTGTAGGGGGAGCCTGATAATCTTTTTTTTTTTTTTTTTTTCACTGCTAATTCTCCTTTTCCAGTGGGAGTGAATGATGTCATCCTGTCTCCTCCCACTGTGTGAACTACGCTTGTGTCAAAGTGTTGCTGCCTCTTGTCACAGAGAGAACCGTTCCCTTAAATGCAGCTGCAGTGCTTTGGTGTGATACCTGTCAGAATCATTCACGGTGTGAGCTTGGGTTTGTAACCATGATGCCAAGATTGGTCCTTCTCCTTTTCTGTGGATATATTGCAGTAAACCTGGGAAGTGCTCAGAAATTGCCCAGAGGCAAGTAACTATGACAACTTTCTGGGGTTTCATTTGTTTTTCTTCTGCTGTTGGGTTTTTGTTTGTTTGTTTCTAATGCTTGTGTTCTCCATGGAAATTTGCTTTCAACAAGATAGGAAAGATTGAGATAACTAAAAAGATAAAAGAAGATCAGTCAACAGGGTCCAAGGTCCAAGCACCAGAGAGTTACTTTAGAGCTCCTGAATAAAACAATTAGAAATGCTTTTATTTAATCTTGTGACTATGACAACTACTGTGAAACAGTATAACTCTATTTATCATGATTTGAACAGTGTTGTGAAGGTTTCTGGTGTAGGATCTTAAAGAAAATGTGACTTAAGAAAGCATTCTGTGCTGCTGGCAGATGATTTCAGCTCTGTCTCAAAATAACTTTTATGCTTTCCATTTCTATCTACCATTAGCATTTGGATAGGAAATTACTTTTATAGGTCAGACTGCATGCATTTTGAGAGAGAAAAACATGATTATTAAAAACAATTACATTTCAAACTGTTCTTTCCACAAGAAAAATATATTCCCTGACCTTTGAGAATATTTAACTCTTCCTCTCTCCTGGAGTCTGGAGGTACAATAGGTTTACATAAATGGTAGGAATCCTTTATCTTCTTTGCTAATGTAATCTATGCAGTGTTGTCTTTTTACTAGCACTTAATGCTGCAGAAAGAACAGTCTTCGCATAAAATGAAATATTTTTTGTATCTAGATCGTAAAGCACTTTGTAGTACTTTGGCATTAAGCAGCACTTTCACAACTGTTTCTGTACTGCACGTATTGCTCTTGCTTTGTAGATGTGCTTGCCTGAGTGCACTGTGCTTTGTAATGGATTTTACATCTGCAATATGCTGCAACCAGGAACAGTTATAAAAGGAAGATGTGGTTTAGTTCCATATGACAATATTTAGTAAGAAATCAGCACTTTTGGGGCTTCCTATGAGATTCACTGGTGGGGAACCTAAAAATTTTGGGGAGAGGTGACTGGGGGAAAGAGAGGCTGGATGTGGCACTGGGCAGCCTGGTCTGCTGGTTGGCAACCCTGCACATAGCAGGGGGGTTGAAACTGGATGATCATTGTGGTCCTTTTCAACCCAGGCCATTTTATGATTTTCAAGCTCCTGTTCCTCCCATCCTTTATTTTTTAGGTTTTCTTTTTTTTTCTTTGGATGCTTTTCTGAAAGTTACTGCTACTTTTTAAGCTCATCTTCTGGACTCAGTGTGGAGTTTTCTGCATACTGTTCATGTGGAGTAATGAACTGTGAGCAGTTGATACTGTAGAGTATCAACTGCTAGCAGTTGACAGTACTGTTCTCATTCATGTTGAATAGACTGCAAGACATGAGCTTTAACCAAAAAGCCTTCTATAAGTAAATTACTGTAGCAGTTCTCATAGCAGAAAATTGTACTGGACAGAGAGGAACATTCTATGTATTGTCAGTTTTGAAGGAAGAAAATTTTCTGGTATTTGTCATTTTAAATAGTTTCATTTGATATTCTGCTAACTTAGAATGATTGCTTTAAATTTACTGTGAATTTCAGACAAAGTTACTGATCCTCTGCAGTCAGTGTAAGATTAATTCTGGGATACATTTTTTTTTTTTTTTTACTGTCCTAAAATAACATTGCAGAAGTGAAGGTCTGCTTGCCAAATGCATACAGCTGCAGGTGGAAACTTCATTTCATGTCAGTGAAATAGTTCTTCAAAGGGTGGTGAGCTACTGGCACGGAGTGCCCAGAAAGGCAGTGAATGCCACATCCTTGGGGACATAGAAGGCAAGGCTTGAGGGGGATGAGCAACCTAGCTGTAGGTATCCCTGTTCATTGCAGGGGAGTTGGACTAGATGACCTTTAAGGTTCATTGCAGGGGAGTTGGACTAGATGACCTTTAAGGGTCCCTTCCAACTCAAATGACTTTCTGATTCTATGATTCTGAAGGTTCTCCCATTGCAGTGTTAAAATATCAACTTTTTTTTTCCGCAACATCGCGGATTAGTATTTACATTAGACTGTTGAACAAAGTATTTTAGTACTTACCTGTTGTCTGAAAATGTGCAAAGAATTGTCTTTGTCTACAATGCTCTTCTGTTTGGCAGAACATACAGAATGTTTTCCTAATCAAGAGTATATTTCAGTCTTTAGGTAGTTTTAGAATGAGTGGTAGTATTCTATAAAATTCACTGAGCTGCTTTCCTCTTCAAGTTGCAAGCTACTTAATTGAGCCTCCACAGGGACCAGTGGAGTCAACTTGATAACTTGAGGGACAATAATCTAACTGATTTTGCTTTGTAATTATGTACAGACTCGTGAACAAGTTCTCTTTTCATTCTTAATATTGCTTTGGAATTCGTGTGCTCAATTTATCTCTCCAGGAGATCTCTGGTCTTGTGGACTGGGATTTCCTTTTAGTGATAGAAGGTGGAAAGAACATCTTGCCTCCCGCAGCTGCAAAGGAACAGTGCCAATACACCCTTCAGATGTCAGTGACTTTCAGAACTATTGCAGAGGTTTTGTATGGATGTGCTGTTCGGGAAGCTAGAACACATATGGTTCACTACACCAAATATATGTGTTTTAGCTTTCACCTCCACAAGCATTGATTTGTGTAGAATGACAAAGAAAGTGTTGTTGCTGTTCTCAAATGTTCTTTACCAATAAATTATTTTAACTACTTTGACTCAGAGGGCTGGGCAATCAACAATCATGTGAAAGTCAACAAGAGCAAGTGCTGAATTCTGCACCTAGGCACTGGATTCTGCACTGGGCAACCCTGGATCCGTGCACAAACAGGGGACGTGAGGCTGAAGAACAACCTCATACAAAGGAAACTGGGGGCTCTGGCTGTTGGCAAGTTGAGTGTGATCCAGCAGAATGCCCTGGCAGCCCTAAGGGCCAACCCTGGGGTATATCAGCTCCACCACTGCTAGCTGTGTAGAAGGGTTATTGCACTCTGCTCTGTGCAGCCTCCCTTCCTGCACTTGGTGCAGATGTCCCACAGAAACTTCATGGTGATTCTATATGTTCTGTAGTTTTATTTACGTAGAAAACAGGCCTATGTGTATTTCTGGTGATGTTATCGTGGCCTCAGTACGGATGAACATTATTTGTCTGGTAATTTTTCGCCACATTCACTGTACCAAAGAACAAATGATGAGTTGGTTATAAGCTGTGTCACAACTTTGTGTCAGACTCTTGGCTATTGTAAGATTTTGCAGTATATACACATATTGTGTAAATACAGGTTTAATTGAAAAGAAAAAGTTGGTTTGCCATAAAAGCAATACTTTCTTTACTATTATGTTTGTTTTTCAGTTGCTGAAAAAGTTCTGTAGTCCATGCAAGTGCTGTCTATGTGTGGGGTCACAAAACCTCAGAGCAGGAAATGCTGGTATTTTAGGTACCTTCTTCTGTCAAGTATTTGAGCCACTGCTCCTTCAGCTATACCTAGCTTCTAGAGTTTTTTGTTTCATCAGAAAGGAGAGAGGCTTGGGCATTTTTTACTTGATGTTATCTCTTCTTTTTTCCACTAAGCCAGTGCTATACAGTGTGTAATGCTTCACTTCAGCACTGTTATACTTGGAATATTTTACTGATGCAAATGATTCATAAGAGGAAACAGTTGTGGTGCATAGGTGTCAGAGTTATTATTTGTCATACTTTCTCTGATTTTTATGATTCCATGAAGCATTAATGTTCCATCCCTGGTGAAGACAGTGTGGCCTTTCTGGACAGGAACTGATGCAAAGAAAAAGCCTTACCTTTAGAGGATGAATTAGTAAGAAGAGCATCCTGAATTTGAGAGGGAGATGAAAAAAAGCAAAGCCACAGAATCGAGAATAAACAAGTTAAAGGACATAATCCACAAGTCTGTACTGCCTTGTAAACTGTGTTTCACTGGTATTATTCCAGCTGGACCCAATACAGATGTTGTTTAAGGCAACAGTGGTGGAACAAGTTCTTAGTGTTTGGTAAAACAGCATTTCATGGTTTTGACTTCACCAATTGACTTTCCAGTTACAACACAGATGTGCATAGAACTGCACTTTTTCACTATAATCTGTTTCTGATAGTTTTTGTATATCTTCATGTTCTGTTTTCCTTTGTTAGAGCTGAAAAGAATTTGGAGTTGAGCCCTTTTTATAAACTTCTAACTTTAAAACTTTTTCAAAAAAGAAATGTTATTCATTTATTTATTTTGCTGTGTTTCTGACCTTGTGGCTTTCCTACTATTTGAATTAGTCATCAGGTAGACTGGAATTCAGGCCCATCCTTGTTCCACTTTCCAGGAGTCAGGCCTGTCCTGTTCTGCTTTCCAGGAAACACTAGGGAAACCTTAATTCACCTTAATTCCTTGTTGCTGCCTTCTAAGGGGGAAAGGAATATACTTGAGATGTCTCACGGGACCATGTGAAAAATGCTGATTTACAGACTTACACAGGGAAAACCAGATCCCAAACTTTCTTGTTTCTGCAGTTGGCATCTGTGGGGATAAGTGGAGAAAATAGTAGTTTTAATTTATCTTTTTGTTCGGTAAGTGTAGAGAAATGTTAGGAACTATTGCAGATAAAACCAGATTTTAGCTATTGGTTATGGAAAGTATAACTGATATCCCTTTGCGAGAACACGACATTTACACTACAATTCCAAACTTACCATTGACACTTAGGAAAGGAATGGACTAATTTAATTCACTGCTAAATTTGTTGCCTGTGCTATGCTATGTAATCCTTCTTCCTAACCAGAGATTGAACAGCATGTGTTTTTACTTACTGGTGTCAAGTAGTTAAAACAACGTTGAGTTATTACAATGCATCATAGTCACTGTACTACAACAACCAAGTTAATCTTTAAATTTTTGTGCCACATGCAACTAAACAGCACCCCTCTGGTATCTGTAGGGTAAAAGAACAGAAAATGTAAAGTAGGAAAAAGATTGAAATGTATTGATTTGAACATATGAAGGAGGTGTCGTGTCAAAATATTTCAAG